GCGCGGAGGCTCCGACTGAGGTGCAAAAACAGGCCGAGGTAGAGATACAGTTGTCATTCTCTGGGATGTTTTGTGACTGACAGGCAGGTCTGACCTAGTTTCAGTCGACCAAAGGCAAGAGCGAGGAAAGCGAGCGAGACTCCATAATCCTGCAGGTCGCCAAAGGGCATTCCGAGTGAATGTTTAACTCTTGTTGTCATTTCTGTGTGTTAAAGATGTAAATAAATGTGATTTTGTCCTCCGTGATGTCATACGAGGAAGGGGGGAAAAAAAATCTGCCGTTTCTTTTCAGCTGCCATCCGTCACATCTCGGCTTCTGAGGCTCCCGCAGAAGGATGCGTCTTTTGTCTTTGACGAAAAAGGAACTTTGACGAAAAAGGCAATTTTATACAGCCTTTCTTTCTTTTAAAAATGATCTTAAAAAAAAGCCACATAATATGACTCTGCAGCTCACAACTCAAACTAACCAGATCCCACTTTCTAACACCTTTCACAAGAAAATTTGTCCAAAAAAATTGAAAAAAAATCAGTTTTTCATCACTGTTTCAAGTTCAGTTTTGAGCTCACTGCCAGTTTTCAAGTCTTCACCTGCCCAGGGTTTGTAAATAAAGATGAAGAACATAATTTTTCCATCCCAGATACATGACTGGTGCATCTTTGAAGTGTATGAATCATTTTACAAAAAAACAAAAACAAAAAAAAAAGTCTTTTTCTCACAGTGAGACAGATGAGCAGCCATCAAAAGCTTATTGTTGAGGATGCTGATGAGACAACTCTTTACTCTCATCATACCTGAAAGGAGATGATTGGAAGCTTTAGCTACAAGTGGCCACATTAAATAAGGCATCAGACGGGTTTTTTTGTGGATATTTACCATCCCCAGAGGATGAGTCCCATAAGCAAACAACATTATCGACATATTTGGGTTAAATAGCTCATTAATTCAACTCTTGTCGAGTTAAAAAACATCAAAATCACACACGATATTCAACATGGGTTGACTGTTTGACTGTCAAAAATGGCTTTTAACAAATAGATGTCTATATTTTCCAAATTGTCCAATACTCTACTGCTTGCTGGACCACTTTCACATTTGCCTTCATTCTGTAGAGACATATTTAGATAGCTGTAGTGCCATACCATCATAAATGGGTTTTTTTATATTTGTTTCCTCGGTATGAATTCTCCAAAGGGATTTCCCTCTTATTTGAAGTTTGTCTGCTGGCCCTTCTTAAATTCTGCTGATGAATTTCGCAAACCCTTTAATCATCCTGATTCTGTCATCAGTAACTCACAGACCAGACACAAAGGCAGCACCATCACTCATTCTGTCGTGCCTGATAAATCAGACTTTAAAAAGGCTGCAAAAGCAACTGATTAACTCAAAAGCTGACAACAAAAAAAACAAGTAAACAGTCTTGAGTGTTTTGCAGCTCGGATGTCTCAGCAGAGAGCAAAACAATGCCTCAAATTGCTGAAAAATGCTAATCAGTGTGGGTAATAGGTCATGAATTGCTTTCTACATCATAAGAAAAAGTGGTTCAAATCAAATCTTAAGTTAAAAATATCCAGCCGAAAGATATTTGTGCTTTTTCAAATCCACACAGTTCCCTGAATGTAAATATAACCGGGTCATATTAAAGCTTGGTTTTGTCTGTGTTGTTACTATTTGAAAGTCCCAGCAACTGGATGTGCAAATAAAATGCTTAAAGGAAACACTTCGGTGCCAGATTAAGTGTTGGTGACTGTGTAAAATGGAGAATGCAGGTCAGTGGCAGAATATAAAACCTTAACTTTGGGCAGTAATCAGTGACCGGCTGAACTCAAATCACCACAGCTGCACAGCTTGTCAACCTCGCTGACATGTATCTGAATGAATGGCTCTAATCACGAATCTTGTGTTTGTGTGTGTGTGTGTGTGCGATCCGGCGTGTGTGTGTGTTTGTGTCTGCGTGGGAGGAAGGGTGAAGTCTCCCAGATGGCACCCAAAGGATTTTCCCTGATAGCTCCCTCTTCAGGAATTAGACCGCTGGGTTTACTTGCATCAACGGCTTTTGATGTAACAACCAAATCAAATCACTTCTGTACTCCGGCCTGTCGGTCCAGAATTCCAGAGGAAATCCACCATTACCAGAGTATAGATTACACCGTTCAAAGGGAAAGAGTTTTTCTTTTAAAAAAAAAAAACACACTAAATCCGGGACAAACACACAACAAACTGGGGGAAACTCTTAAATAAGCTCTTCAGAAATTGTCCTATAAAAAAAATAATAAAAAAAGCCGTAACGCTTTGATAAACTAGGTCTCAAACGCATTGTTTATGCATATCAGTGAAGTCCTCAGCTGACAAAGTGTCAGCTCTCAACCGACAAGATCTTCTTTACTTTTAAATATTCCATGCGCCTCGTCAATACTTTATGAGTCCAACCGACATTTACTTGATGGCTGCGATGAAACGTCTTTTTTTTTTTTTAAATCATACAGCTCTTGAATTAAACACCTCCTGGTAGCTTTCGTTCATATTTTCCCTGCTATCATCTTAATGGTCTCAGCCGTCCGTCTCAAGGAATGACAGTCCCCCCCCTCACCTCTGGGGAAAAAAGGGGGGGGGCTGTGCTCAATTACAGCATTCAAATCAACACCGGCCTGTCCGAGATCATTGGCCTAACATATGTGAGCGCTGACAAGGGGCCGACAGCTTGCCCTTAAAAGGGTTATCGCCATCATTTCAAGTTATTTCGGGATCTTCTTCTTGCAGACAGTTCTACCAGTATTCATTAGAGCTTCGCCCTGGAGGGGAATGGGGAAGCAGCCTGGAGCGTTTTCAAGGGAGACGGGGAACATTTTTTGGCCGGTGCCGGCGTACACGGCTTTTCAATCAGAGGGGAAATGTATATTCACAGTCCCATTTGCTGAACAGGGAAAGCTGTGGATGTGCAGTTCTGGCACTCACATGCACACATAAAGCAATCCTGAGCAATAATGACTTTTATGAGGCAAAAAAAAACAAAAAAAGTCAAGAAAAACTTACCAAAATGAAGGAAATGAAGAGGAAACGTTGGAGAGATCTTCTTCTTTTTTGATTCTGCCCAAATCCTTAAAGGTGTGCACTTGCTCACTCAAACTGGAGTCAAGCTGGGGGTAAACTGGGGGGGGGGGGTTTTCGGGGCCCAGCAGAGGCTAAAAGCACCCACAGATGCCTCCGTGCACGTTGGTGGCACCTGCCCTCTTTTTTCTTCCAGGAGCAGAAGCGGAGGGTGGTGCTGTGCCTGTAGCGGTTCTGCTCTCAGGTTATTTTTCCCTAATCCGTTTCTGGGCTGTCAACAAGATAAGAAAGTCTGTAACAGGGAGGTGGTGGTGGTGGGTTGGGGAAGGGGAAATGTCGATGCCTCTTGAATGTCAATTTATCCAAAAGATGGATTCCCAAAGACACCCTGAGAGGCTCTCCGGGATTCAGCGACTAATTTAAGGAATTTTTCAAAAGGTCTCTCGGCAGATGTTTGCCATCACGTCAAACATTAAAACTCTCTTTTTGTTGGTTTAACTCACACAAGCCCAAAAAAAATCCAGTCACGGTTTGGACCCCAAACGGCCGGTGTCACCTTTAGTCCCTCCTCAGGTTGTGGGTCTTTTTTTCCTCAGGTGTGAATCCAACAGGTTGTCAGTCCTTCCTCGGGTCCTTTTCTCTCCCCCTCTGATGCGGTTCCCCTCATCCGGAGAGCAGTAATGCCGATCCACATCTGTCCGAGCACAGTCCACCCCCCCCCACCACCATCAAACCCAACCCACCCTCTCTTCAGCAGAGCTCCCTGCCCACTTCCTCTCTCTCTCTCTCTCTCTCTCTCTGTGTTATTAGGCTTTGTCTGCTGCTGGGGCGGGTGGAGCTAGCGGGATGTCTGCGTGGAGAGGTTGTCGGAGAGAGCTCGGAATGCCGAGGCAGAATTCCCGACCGCCGGAACAGTTTGAGAGACGCTGGGAGAGGAAGAGAAAAGCTGGTTGGAGCAGATGGGAAAAGAGAGAGTGTGTGGTAGAAGGAGGGGAGGGTGATGGAGGCTAAGGTGAGAGAGGGAGGCGTTACTTTTTCCAGGCAGTTTTTCAGAGAGAGGAAGAGGGAGAGCCGAGCCGGGGAATTATTATTCATGTGTGGGAGATAAAGATTAAGTTAAACAGGTTATTGGGGATAATCCCCAGAGATTTCCCCCACATGAGGCTAGTAAATATTGCAGAGGACCGACTTTGCCCTTAAAGCGTGCGTACGCGCGCGTGTGTGTGTGTGAGTGGATCTGACAAACAGATCTTGTCTAAGCCGGAAAATTAGATGAGCGGTGACGCCTTGCCGCACACACACACACACACACACACACACACACACACACACACACACAC